AACAACACGGACCAGCAACTCCCCGCAGAGCCCTTCCAGGGCCACACGTTTGGCTGCCTGACCTGCCAGTCCAGTCGTCTCTAGGTCCCTCCCAGGGTTGCCTAGTGCTTCTGATTGACAGGAGGAGGCTGGCAGGGACGAGGAGGGAGAAAATGGGCAAACACACCAAACGAACCAAAACTCACTTTTAAAAATTCATTGGTTCAGTTCATTTTGGTTCGTCAGTTTTCACGAACCCAAATCAACCTGATCTAATGAATCCGTGATTTTCGATGAACATCCTGGTTTGTTTGGGGATTTTTTTTGGGGGGTTGGGGGGGTTGTGCCCCCATCTCTATTCATTTCCTTTTGAAGGCAATGCCTGCCTTTTCTTTCTCTCTGGAGGTGGGAGGAATTCTCCCCAAATTACCCATTTCATAAGACACCTCCAGACGGTCTGGTGCTGAGATGCTGATGATCCCTATGATATTTCTCACCTCCTGCGCGAGAACAAGACAAGGAACGCATCACTTCATTGGAATTCTGGCAATCTGAGCAAAATACGCCCGGCCTTTTCTCTTTGCGAAGCAAAAGTCAGGCACAGAGCAAGCCGAGCAGGGAAGGATTGATTTGAAAGACACAAACATGCCACCCGATATGACAAGTTTTCTAAGTGCCCGCCCAACAAGGCAGCAGTTCTGGTCACTTTGAGCAATCCTGCAATTTGGCTAAATTGTGCAAAATTACTCTTGTAAGTGAGACTTGATACTGAGAAAAAATACCTTTGCTTTTTTTCCTGGCAAGGATAAGATCTTTGCAGGGTTTTGTGTGTGTGTGTATGTGTGTGTGGGGGTGAGTTGCGCATGAGAATAAAACAAGTGAGAAGTTACGACTCAGTCCTCTGCACGCACAGCTTGGGAGCCTCACAGTATTTCTGTGAAGATGTTCAGGCTGAAAGGTTGTGATTAGCCCAGTGAAATTCATGGGTGCATCGGGATTTGAACTCAGGTCCCTTCCCACAGTACCAGCGAGGAGCTATAACCACTGGACCACCACACAGGCTCTCCCCTGTCTGCAGATCTTCCCATTCCCCACCCCATTCCAGTGTCTGCACCAGCATGTGCAAATCCACTGCAGCTGGTCTGATTTGGGTTCGAGAAATGGAAAACAGAAGGATACCAATTAACCGCCTCTCTGCCCTGCTTTCCTGGCTGGAATGGGTCCGTTACATCACCAAAGTGGCAACAGGAGTTCCCACCTGGCCTTCAGGAACCTTTGGAGTTTAGAGGATCCTACAGGAGAAATATTTGTGAAGCTGGACATGAACACAGAAGTTGAGCTAAGAGAAGAGCCACCGGAAAGATGATGGCTAGTTGGCAGTAATGGCTAGTGGGCAGATAACAGTCTTATTTGGCTGTGGGTCTGTGCATGCACACAGCCCAACTCTGCCTGGATAACATACCCCCCCCCCCGTCCTGCCATCAGCATGTTTTGGAAGAACAATTAGGATTGTGACTTGTCGGGCGGACGGTTGGTTGCTTCTGGTCTACGGAAGCATCTCTTGAGCTCTTCTCCTGAGGCAGAGCGGAGAGAAAAGGGAGGGCGACGGAGCGCCTCATACACACTTTGCGAGAGAGGAAGTTGGACGCCATCATAATGGTTGGCCGATGAGTGCAAAAATTCCTCGCTGGATACAGGAGGGCTGCTAATGGTCCTACAGGCTATTTCTTTGTGACAGCAATTTGGGCTTCGGACAACACAATGGAGCGAAACACAAAAAACATGTCAAAGGCAATGTGTTTTGATGAACGCGGATAGAGGAAAAAAATCCAGAGCAGGACCCAAGAAAAGCAGCGGCTCATTGAAAAGCGCCCTTCCTGGTGCGTTCAAGCCTTCCAGTTTTCCAACGTAAACCATGGCATTTCTCTGCGTTTGGCCATGCCTTCTCCACCATCAGCCCAAAAGGAGGGAGGCAAATCCTGACTCCTTTGGGTTTTGTGTGCAAGAAGAAGAAAGTAATGGTCTGGTTATTGTGCGAGAGGATGAGACATAGCAGCTTTTGAAATATTTTTGCTTCACATCAGGGATTCTAACGTTTGCCAAAGTGATCTGTACACATCTCACAAACTGTGGACACTGCCCACCTTGCACACACGTTGTAGCGGCACCAAGATAGTGGCTCCCTCGTTGCACGGGCTTTTCAAATACAAAACCCTCCGATGGATTGCTCGTGTCTTTTTAAAACAACCATCCCATCCTTCCATAACTGCTGTGTGTGTGTTGAGCATTTGTGGGTTCTTTCAGGAAGGAAGAAGACACTAGTTTTGCATAGGGCCATTTTGCAATAAAATAAAATAAATAAAATAAATAAAATCTTACAATGTGTGCATGTTAATGAACTCAAGACAGCCTGTCTCAACACCGAGAATGGATAATTTACCAAGATTTCTTCACCTCCCTGTCCTAAAGTCTTCCTTTGCCTGCACGATGAAATGAAAAATCTCAAGGTGAGTCAAATTTTACACCAGAATCTCTCCCTTATGAAACCAGAACTTCTTGCTAAACTATCGGAGTTAGGCTAGGTCAGGCTTGATGTCCATCAGACTCAGAATTGTGTTTTCCCCCATGCAGGTCGTGGGCATAAGACACCCCCCCCCGCCTGCTCACACTCCCCAGAAACTGGCACTGAAAGGTTTCTTCTGAACCCTAGAAGTTGCCTTGATTGGTGGCCATGAATCCCCTTATTCTCCACCAGATCCATGAATTTCCCATGGATTTCTCCATCACCCCTGCTTGCAGCAGACAGGAGATCCTTCGGAAGCTGGCCTATATCCTTCTCTCTACGCTGAGTTTCCTACCAGGCGGTTCCAGTAGATGACCCCACTGAGTCGGAACATTAGAAGAGCAGGGGAAATGCTTTTTCACATAACATCTCTACCATGTATTCTATCAGGGCATTCCTTCTTCTGCCAGGCTACATGTGATACAAAGCCCCCATGCGCCCCCTCCTCTCTGTAACTGCTTTTCTGTGGGGAGGGAGATGAACAAACCAGCATGGAGAGAGGGAGGAATCCTGCAGCCATCTGCCTGGTGTTGTTGGGTGCTTGGGCCCTGGATAGCCTTCTGTGGCCCGACGGCTGTCCTGTTTGCAAAACCACTCAACACACTTATGAGGAGGCAAGGAAGAGAGACACAAGCTGTCCAAAGGAAAACGTAGAAAGGGAAGCCAGATGTTATTGCACTGCTCCTTTCAGGGCTGGGCTTTGGCACCCTCTTCCATCAACCAGATGCCATTCCAAGGGTATCCCTCCTCCAAAAAGGAGCTGTCAAACGGCTCCAGCCAGTTTTGGAAAACACGGCGGCAGGGAATGGCCTCGGAGGAGGAGGAGATGCTGGCCCCGCTCCCCCGGCTCATCCCCAGCCTCCGTATCCCATCATCCAAAGCCTCTGGGGAGCGTTCCCTTTGAGGGTCAGGGGGGCACTTCCTTGGTCTGCCCGAAGAGCTCTTGGGGCAAAGGCAGAGCCGTCCACCCCATTCTGGTGCCACCGAGGGAAAACACCTCGTCAGTGCAAGGCAGAGACGAGGCAAGTTTCCCCCTTCCTGCCTGTTGCCCCGTGGAAAGCCACGTCCCCTTCCATGGAGGAGAGGTTCAGGGACTCTTCCTCCCTCTTCCCTGTTCTGGGGCCTCCTGACTTCTCATCGGCCACACCGCCACCTTCCATCTCTTGGAGCAAGAGAATTCCAGGGGAAAGTTCTGCAGGCACCGTGGGTGGCCTTCTGTCAGCTCGTAGAAGCTCTCCCTTCCTGGAAAGGAGCCCGTGCACCGAATAAAAGCCTTTATTATTCTCATTTTCTTCTACAACAAGAAGCCAGGGACAGCGTGGAACATAAGGGGGCTGGTCAAGCGCCAACCGTGAACTCTGGCTAAAACAGACCCCGTCGAATCATCTAAACACCCACTCATTTTGTGGATCTCTTTTAGTGGGGATAAAAAGTAGGCTCAGATCACCGTGGGGATGAAAGCCAGTTCTACCCTTCAGCCTTGCACCGGGATGTCCCGGGCGAGATGCGCAATGTGTTCTTGTTTAGCACATCTGGACACTGGTCCAGAATCGAGCTGCGCGGCGGGTGAGTGGTGGGGCCGCTAGGGAACATATCAAGCCAATTCTGTTTAATTTACATTGGTTACCAGTTGCTGCCCAGGCCCAATTCAAAGTGCTTGTTTTGACATATAAAGCTCTAAACGGCTTGGGCCCTGGATACCTGAAGGACCGCCTCCTTCCATAGGAACCAGTTAAGATCTAGCCAGGGGGCCCTTTTGAAAGAGCCGTCCCTCCAGGAGGTAAGAGGGACGGCTTGTAGACAAAGGGCCTTTTCGGCAGCTGCCCCCAGACTATGGAACGCCCTCCCGACTGAGGTTTGTCTGCCGCCGACACTGATGACATTTCGGCGCCAGGTCAAAACCTTCCTGTTCCAGAAGGCTTTTAATTGAAATAATATCAACTGTGGGTCCTGATGTCAATTTTTAGAGTATATATATTTAATTGTATTTTAATTATTTTGTCTTTTTATTATATTTTAAATGTTGTAAGCCGCCCAGAGACCTTTTGGGTAGTGCGGGCGGCCTATAAGTTAAATAAATAAATAAGATGGAAGGAGAGATAGACAGACAGACGTACAGAGAGATAGGCAGGCGCCGCAGCCTTATGGGTCCCATAAATGCCCACGCCCCTCCCCGTTCCTTTCACAAAGAGATGCAAAGACAGAAGCACACCTTACAACCCTCCGAACGTCAACCCAATGGCCACCGATTGCCGTCTTCCATCTCGAACTTGGCACACACACCCCTTCCACCATTCCCAGAAGAAAAAAAGGGAGCTGCTCCACACCGCCTTTGGAAGAGCGCCGTCCTCCTGGTTCCATGCCTGGCAGACTGGCCTCTTTGGCAGGTCTGGAGTCTGCTTTCTTTCTGGGTCCGCCGACCCTCGGGACCAACCCGAGCGCCACACGGGAGACCTACCTGTCACAAGGAAGCTGCACCGGCCGGCCCCCGCCTCGTTGATGACGTTGCAGTTGTAAATCCCATAGCTGTCCCTGGAGAGGCTCCGGATCGTGTACTCCGTGGAGTCCTGAGCGTCAAACTGCCCTGTCCGGAGCAGCTTGTTGCCCAAGCGCCATTCGAAGGTCAACACCCGCGTTGGGTAAGCCCTCAGCACCCGGCAGCTCATGGTGACGCTTCGGCCTTGGCCTTGACGGATCTCCAGGAACGTTGGTTCAACAGCCGGTGGATCTGGAAGACACAGGAGTGGAGAGGGAGGTGAGAACAGGATCGAGGATCTGACCACCCCTCATTGTAATCTTGTACACAGAGCTTCTCCTCTTTCCTGTCCTGTTAACCTTCTTCTTCAATCTCTGAAAGGCATTAGTTTACGCTGGCCTTTCCCCCAAGTAACAGTGGCTAAATATCAGCACATCCTAATCAGCTCAGGGGAGGAAATGCCAGTGACAGATTACTGCCATGAAGCCAGTCAACAGGTCAGTTCCTGAAGGTCAAACTAGGAATACAATTATCACTGTTTTTGCAGAGGGGCTGTGCCGAAAGACGCCTGTGCACCATGAAATGAGATTTTCCTCACCTACGGATCTGGCATTTGGCGTGCTTTGCTTTGTGATTGGTCACTCGAAGGAAAACATCGTGCCTTTCTCTGAAATAGGGATGTCAAAACTTCCTTTTTTCTGTCACTTGACTATTAACGTGTAAACCCTATTTAGCTGTGCTAGTCCGTGAAAGTATTGCAAATGAAAAATAATTTAAAAAATGTTTTTTAAAAAAGCAAAAATGTGTTGGTACCTTAAAGACTAACATTTACATTTGTTTAATGTGAGCTTTCGTAGACAAGCCAACTTGATTAGCTATATCATATTTGGGTAATGGGCTCTTTAAACATCCACAGAAATAAGCATGTTTTCTTTAATAATCTTCACTTATTCCCACTCTTCCTCTTCTATTGCCACCAACATTTGTGTGTGTAAATTCTTCCCTTTATTCAGGCCCTTATAACATTCTATATACAGCTAGCCATCACGTATTGAACTCAGCACCATTCAACCTGAATAAAACTGCACTTCAAGAAGGATGCTGACAAACTGGAACAAGTTCGGAGGAGGAGGAGGATGAGGATCAGGCGGCTGGAAACCAGAGGAAAGACTGAAAAAATTGGGCATATTTAGCCTCGAGAAAAGAAGATGGAGGGGTGAATAGGATAGCACTTTTCAAATATTTGAAGGGCTGTCCTACAGAGGAGGGGCAGGATCTGTTCTCTCGATCATCCCAGAGTGCAGGACATGCAACCATGGGCTCAAGTGACAGGAAGCCAGATATCAGTTGGATATCAGGAAAAACTTCCTAACTGTTAGAGCAGTACGACAGTGGAACCAATTCCCTCGGGAGGTAGTGAGCGCTCCAGCACTGGAAGCCTTCAAGAGAAACTTAAGACAACTATCTGTCAGATCTCCTTGAGCAGGGGGTTGGACTTGATGGCCTTAGAGGCCCCCTTCCCACTCCATGATTCTAGGATTCTGTATCTCATCAGGTTCTATTAAATCGACAATGTCAAAACATACTGCCCATCCTGCCTGTCTGGCAACATGGGCACAATAGCGTTACACAATTTTGGGACCTTTCCTGGCATTTTAGAGATAAATGCACAATAACTCGCATTCATAAACCAGAGGTGTTTTTTTTAAAGAACTGAACACTTTTCGTGGCTTCTCCCCAGACCAGCAAAACGTTTCCAGACAATTCTTACAAAGCTGGTGTAGAAATCAGTTCAGAGAAGCCCGCCTCTTAGCGAAGAAGGCCAGAGAGGCTCATTTGTGCCAGTGGGCTCCTCCCTGTGCCATTGTCTCTTTCCACACACACACAAAAGCAACCCTTCTGGAGGTCTCCCCCGCTTTTGTGATGCCCATCATTAGCCACTCTCTGTGTGGCCACCTCGGCTCAGCCGTCTCCCCGGAGTTGCCCGTCTCCTACAGAGAACGTGCCCTTCGGTGCCATATCTCTCCCAGCCTCCAGACGGCTAATGGGCCAGGACTTGCTTGCCTGCGGAGAAGCAAAGACCTTCTGCGTTTGTGTTTCAAGCGTTTGCTTTGAACGGCGGGAAGGACGTTTGACAATTGCAACCGCGCTTGAGAGTAGCAGGTCATCTGGATTGCTCGGGAGGAGGCTGATCAAAGCTCTCTTTCTGAGCTTCCCTCCCCCTTTATAAAAATAAAACCTCTCCAAGCAATTCCCTCGGCATGGCATTCTTCTCCATAAAGCCTCCAGATGCAATGCAGGGGAGACTGGCAATGCCTTTGTACTGAAGTTTTAAAACCGATCCGGCTAGCTAGGGGGTTCCCCTTGCTCTCCTGGCCCCTTCACGTCCCTGGGGATGCAAGCAGATGTCATCTGGAGAGTGGGTCAAGGATCATGGCCAGTAGCCGCAGAGGCACCAACAACTCCACATCTGAAAAAGACCGGGTGTTATTTCCTATATTCTTTGATTGCTGTGGCAACTTTTCATCTTCATTCTAACAGGCAACTTGGAAAAATGGCTTTTCCATTAAAAATAAAATGTGCATGCGCCCATGCCCAATGGTGTGGTAACCTAAGGAGGACATTAAAGTCGTATCACTCCAAAGACCCCTCTTATTCATCATTCTGGTCCTGCCGTATAACAATGGGACCCATGACCTCAAGGGGAGGTGGTGAGCGCTCCAACGGTGGAGGCCTTCAACAGAAAATTGGACCACCACCCTCGGTCCGATCTGCTTTGACTTGGATTCCTGCCTTGAGGTGGGGGATTGGACTCCCATGGCCTTAGAGGGCCCCTTCCCCTTTCAATGATTCTAGGATTCTAGGGGCTAACCAAACACCCATAAGAAGTCTGACAGTAGGTTGTGACTGCAACCGCAACTCCATCTCTTATTTCCTCTTTGCCACTAACTGATGCATATTGAACTAGAACAAGCCCCATGGAAACAATGCGGATTTGGCAAGCCAACTACTCCATAAGTTGCATCGATACCCATGGGCTACTCAAGTTGTGGACTTTCTTTAGGAGAGTAAGTTGCAACTAAAGTAAGCCCATTTGAATCAATGGAACCTATTTGACTCACCCAATCTGATTCAATGGGTCTGCTGTGGTGCAACGTATTACGCTAAGCAACATGATTTCAGCCAACATCTATGCTACTCTAGGCAATATATAAATATTGCTCCCCCCCCCCCAAAAAAGGTAAGGATGTCCATTTTGGCTGTAACATCTTGAACCATAGCTTCGGTGTGTCAACTCTTACGGATGGCAAATCCTGAATCGATCTGTCTCTTCCACCCCTTCATGATTGAGAACTGGAGGTAATACTGGCCTTGTACCAGTTTTTCTCAGAAGCTGCACCATCTCTCTCTCTCTCTCTCTCAATGTCTGTATGCCTTCCCTCTCACAGAGGGAGCATCTTTTCAAAAGAACGGAAGGGGAAGTGAAGATATCAGGTTGTTTAAAAAATGCAAACAGAAGTTAACTGCAATATTCCAGACAATCATCTTAATTATGTATGAACCAACTGAAAACAGTTTGGAGCAAGGACATAGACGGTAGTCCTTGATCTTCTGGCAGTACTTTTTCTTCCTTCTGTTCACCGCAGTTCGAACACAAGTGGAAAAGGTAAGAGGGTGATGCATATTGAAGGGACATGAGCCCCTTGTATCGGCCACACTCTTCCGTTACATTTTATCGAGACAAAGAGCTTCCTCCGTCTTGCGTGCATTAATTGGTTCATCTCTACTTGGATGTCACCTGCCCGTTGACCTTTGCATGCTCATAAATGGCCACTACTAAGATCTACGTCTATCGGCTGCCACGGCCTGCTGTACGAGCATGAATGGCCCCTGTTAACATCCTGACCGGGCTGCGCCTTTTGCATTTCTATCACATTTCTCACTCCCACCCTCTTTCCTGAGTGTGTGCAGAAATGCCTTGTTTATGGAAGCCGTGCGCCTGAAAACATTTCTCATTCCCACCCTCTTTCCTGTGTGTGCAGAAATACCTTGTTTATGGAAGCCGTGCGCCTGAAAAATGAACGAATGTTTATGCCCCATAAAAATGGTTGGTCTTCAAGGTGCTGCAAGCCTTTGATGGTGTCACTGGGGTCTCTTCCAGACCAAGACAGTCACCTTCTGAGCTGGAATTTACTGCCACTAAAATATAGTTTGCATAATTACAGTAGGACTCCTGTATCCACAGGATCGGTATCCCCGGTTTCACTTATTCACTGATGACCATGGTGGGGAAAGGGTAGACGGTTTGCAGAGTGAATGGCTGGCATTTACTGCCACTAAAATATAGTTTGCATAATTACAGTAGGACTCCTGTATCCACAGGATCGGTATCCCCGGTTTCACTTATTCACTGTCTGAACTGTTTAAAAATATTTTTTTAAACCCTATAAATATGTATTTTCATGATGTATTTACCAGATTTGGCCACTAGAGGGAGTCAGATACCATGCTATGTATTCTTCTTGACTAGTGGTCAGCTCTAGTAACACAGTCGTGCCCCACTGGACGATTACCCCGTTTAACGATGAATCCGCTTAACGTTGACGTTTTTGCGATCGCTTTTGCGATCACAAAACGATGGTTTAAATGCCAGCTCTAGTAATACAAGGAAAGAACTTTGCTGGATTCAATGGACTTGATGGAAGGCAATTTTCTTCCCTTTTTTTGAAACTTCCAAGGCCCTTCTATGAGGGACAATTGTACTTTAACTAGCATCTAGTCTAATTGCTTTTTTTCATGTTTAATTTAAAATGTTTTTAGTTCTACTCTTTTTAATCAAGGCACATTTCTTCTCATAGAAGGAAAGAACTTTGCTGGATTCAGTGGACTTGATGGAAGGCAATTTTCTTCCCTTTTTTTGAAACTCCCAAGGCCCTTCTATGGATGGACAATTGTAATTTAACTAGCATCTAGTCTAATTGCTTTTTTTCATGTTTAATTTAAAATGTTTTTAGTTCTACTCTTTTTAATATTGTGAGCCACCTGGGGTCCCTTTATTGGGAGTAAGGTGGCCTAGAAATAAAGCATGTTGTTGTTTAGTCGTTAAGTTGTCTCTGACTCTTCGTGACCCCATGGACCAGAGCAGGCCAGGCCCTGCTTTCTGTAAAACATACAATAAAACAAATGAGCATTTCCAGTCTGCCACCGAGACAGGGGGGTGGTTAGGTTAATTGTCCCCTGTAGCCGTGCTT